CTCTTGTAAAGATAGTGTATCAGACACACCATTTCCGTCTACGTCAAACACAGGACCGACATATGAGGAAAGCAGAGAAAGAAAAACACAAGAAAATTAACATGGCACAGTTTATTGTAAAAATAAAAATTTTCCTTCCCAATTATTTTTGGCGTCTCAGCCCAATTTCTCTATAAACGCTTTTACAAACATTGAACAACAATTTACAAGGCGAACAGAGTTAGCTACCTCGCTCTGTGGTTTACTACACGCTAGTACGCTTCAGCTGTGTTTGGGGGGGGGGAGGGGGACCAGAGGTTGACTTTACAAATTTCTTGTATCTTTTACCTCACTCTCATTTATTTTTAAGAAGAAGAAAAATATTATTGTGTTTCATTATCAAATCTTGTTTACTATATGTATATATATATTTCTTTTCAAATAGTTTTTTTTCTATTCATGTACCTTTGAATTTTCAAGGATAAGCTTTATTTCCATCCAACATTAACATAATGGGTGAGGTATCTTTCCCATCAGTCTGCAAGAAAGTGTTAAAGTTAACAAGATGTACAAGTATTTGTTACCACTCTTTCTTGAATTTGAGTCACCAGATGAAGTTGGATTTCTGACTTGCACGAAAAGATTGATATCTGAAAACTAAATCATTTTGTGTTTCATGTTAAGTCATATCTTACTATAAAAAAGTAGAAATAGATTCAGTTGGTCAATTTAAGTTTTTTTCAGTAATTTTGTATGTAAGAAATATATTTCCTGCCCTGGAGACTCCATGCAAGAACTTGATTAGACAAAAATAATGGTAATTATCATAATAATAACAATGAAGATGATGTTAATCATAATATCAGCAGTCATCACTCTCAAAAGGAATATCAGTAGTTGTAATAAATAAACCCACATCGCGTAATCATAATAAGCACATCAAGATCATTATCAATAATAACAATAACAATAATAAGTCGACCTAATAGAGCTCATTATTATTGTGGAAGCTTTGATGCCAGATCTCTTGTCACACGTCATAACACCAACGTGCGGAATACACAGTACACACCTCAGTTTAAAACTCTCCCTCATGAATGGCATTAAGTCACTGGTAATAATTATCATAACAGTCACGTGCACAGCGAAAATAAACCATTGAAACTGCCCCCCAAAAATGAAAGTATATAGATCTTTGAAAAAGAAATACTGTGTGCATTGAAGGGCTAAATTTCCTGATACAGGACAACTATGTATTCGACCAAGGGCAACAGACAGCGACAGACACAGGCTAAAACATTGTCCATTACGGGAGCTGAACACTTATACCAGAAACAGAAAATCATATAATCTTCATTGATATACTTTTAGTTCATTTGTCTTCACTTATAATACTTTTTTTCTGTACATGTAATGGTATTTTCTCGACACTGAAACTGACTTTTCCTTTTCACTTGCAATGCAATTTTCTCACCGCTTGCAATGTCCCTTTCTCTATCCTTTCTCTTCTTCTTCCAAATGTAATCTTACAAAAGAGGACATAGTCTTACGGATAGGGATTTGAAGTTAGATGACTCAGAAGGACTTGGAAGTTGCTGAACTTCTCACAGAAAAAAAAGAAAAAGACACTCAACTCGAAACTTCTCTTCTCCTCACAGAAGTTCATTCATAGGAAACAGTGATTTTATTTGCCATAAAGAGAAAGCAAAGAAAAGAAAACTTAACCAGTCTTCTATGCTGTACGCCTCTCTACCACGCTTACACTCCGCTTATCTTAAAACAACAGCATCGTTATCGTAACTGCCCGGATGAAGAAAGTCGTATTTTTGCAAGCGCCGGAACACAACCTGTAAATAGCCTCCGAACGATCCCACCCTCTTGCAGCAGACTCTAAGCCTTTTGGAGATTATGACGTGAGATCTGCTTATAACAGTATTTGAAAGATAAAAAAGAAAAAAAAAAGAAAAAAATATATATTCAGCGGTCTAGGAATACACTATTGAAATCCAGTTCCAAAAGAAGCGGTCTAAGAAGAAAAAAAAAGAGGATAAAAAGTCAGAAAATTCTGGAAGTCTCGGTGTATTTAAGCGACTAGAAACTCTTTACTGGTTTAAGCGAGCGTAGAGAGGATCGGATTTTTCTTTTATCTCTCTCTCTCTCTCTCTCTCTTTATGCAATGAAACGGGAAAAAATCATCAGCGATTGAAACCGCATCTGGGAGTAAAATTTCATTTTCCAGATAGAAAATATCACATGTATGGCTCGAGGAACCGTTAATCCTAACTACAGACTAAAAGTGCCCGTGTTTAAAACCCGCTCTGGGAAAAAATGCAAGACTTTGGCGTTAGCTCGCGACTATAACGACTCCTTTTACCTATTCCCTTGTTGATATCAAAACATTATCATTATTATCTTCCGACTCAGGAGGACTATAGGGACCGACTGGTGCAGCTATGGATAAAAAAAAGAAAATGTTTGGCATGGCGTAGAGAGATCGACTAACACTGGTACTCTTGTCTGTGTTTATTTCCTTTCTTTTTCTTTTTTCTTTCTTTCTTTGCGTGACCTCCGACTCGCTCTAACCACGATCCTAGAGAGAGAATAAAAAGGACGATTGGTCGCTGACGGATTGTTAAATTCGAAAGAAAATTATTGTTAGTTTTGCTTTCATTTCTGCTTGATTCCATCTGTTTTTATTTTTGGTTTATCTATCTATTCATCTATTAATTTATTCATTATTTTGTGTTTGAACGAAAGAGGAAAACGAAGTCGCTGTGGTTGGTCTGGAAGGCAAAATGGATTTTGGAAAGGAGCTTTTAGTAACTGTTCTCAGAATGAAGTTTATATATGTATATAAATATCTCTTTTGTGTTTCCTTTTCGTGTACCGGTCATCAAGGTCTTATTTTGGAACAAACCACGACCGTTCTGCAGCTGTTGACTTCATGATAAAAAATATATGTATATGTATGCAAATGAGGCATCTAGAACTTCTCTTGTCGACAAAAAATAAATAAATAAATAAAAGATTCACAGCCGGATGAAGTCGAAACCACTTGGGACTACGTTGCGGGTCACTTTCTGCCGTTGGTCGAAGAATTAAAAAAAAGAAAAAGATTCATTGTGAGAACCACCAGTGATAACTATACGAAAAATGAAGACAAAATCCGTTTTTTTTATATCTACCCCCCCAAAAAAGGAAAATCAAGTTACTTCTTCATAAAACCAAAGACAGTTCGTTTCTGTTTGTTTTTTTTCACTATCCTAATGTAAAAAATAAATAAATAAACGAATAAATGAAATAAAATTTCCAGCCCCAAGTATATGAAAAAGACAATCAAATCCTCTTTTAATATTTATCCTATAAAGGAAGTCAGCAATTACATCTCTCTTTTTTTTTAATGCGATTAAATCCTCCTCCACTATCCTTCCTTATACTATCTAATCCCAAACCTTTATATAGAAAAATAATCAGATGTCGTATTTTCTTCACCACCGAAAGACCCAATATTTCGAAATAAAATTGAAAAGAATCAAGATAATATTTACTCGTCAACAAGAAATGATAATGATCGTCTTGTCATTCATCTATAATATGATTTTTTTTTTTCAATTTTAGAAAAGTATAAATTCCGAGAGAAAAAAAAAAATGTTTATATTGCTGATACGTGGGATTCGAACCCATTTCTACTAGGAAGCTTCCCACACCACCCATTTAACCTCCCCAATATCACAGGTTGCATTAACGGTACATTAACGGTACACATTCATTCGTCTGGAAAAAAAAGGGAAAAAAAATTGTATACTATACAAAGCTAAAATCTCAAACGTGCGCTCCGAATTTCGATAAGGAAGTAATCGTTCAGAATTATCTTTATTAAGAAGAAGGGAAAAAATTATATAGATATATTCATTATTTTCATTAAATTTTATAAGATATATATATTTTTATCTCCCTTCGTCGAAATTATATGACCTTTTTTCCGGTATATAAGAAAAAAAAAGTATTATCCACACGTTACATGGTACACACAAACGGAAAAAAATATATATGTTTATTAGTTAGAACTAAAGTTTTAAAAAAAGCAAATATTATGTATTTTTTCCCCGCCTGAAGCTGCCACACAGTTGCTAAGGCTATGACGATTCGTAAAAATATTCACATGGTTTTACATATTTTTTTTATTTTATTTTATTTTATGTATTCATCTCTTCATCACACTGGCGCTCGTGGGCTGTGGTGAGTCACGTGACTCTATTAGCGATTCCAGTTTATACAGATTTGTGCACGAGGGACCGTACGGCAATGATCATTACTAGTACGTGTGCAACACTGCATACACACACGCACGCACGCACACACTCTGACATGAAGGAAATACATACTAACTTCACAAACCTGAACGCGCTCACACTAAAATAATGATATAATAATAATAATATTAGTAATAATATTAATGATGATAATAATAATTATAAATGAATAAATAAGGGTCCACAGGCATAAAATAAAACGCCCATACGCACACTTACACAAGTTAAAGGAACGCCCACACACGCGCGATGAAAGCGATGTGCTCTGAAAAGGAGGAAGCGTTGGAAACACACACACACACACACACACACACACACACACACACACACACACACACACACACACACACACACACACACACACACGCACACACGCACACACGCACACACGCACACACGCACACACGCACACACGCACACACGCACGCACGCACACGCACATACCCTTCGTACGTACGTACATGCACGTTTTCGAGGAAGTGGAGTCGTACACGGAACTCACCAAGAACCGAGCTTACCAGTGAGTGTGAAGAAATGACATAAGGTCTAGTTTGCCCCAGCGAGGTCACGGGGCCTCACCCTTACGGTCTCCATCCTCTGGTTGCTGTGTGTGTGTGTGTGTGTGTGTGTGTGTGTGTGTGTGTGTGTGTGTGTGTGTGTGTGTGTGTGTGTGTGTGTGTGTGTGTGTGTGTGTGTGTGTGTGTAAATATCTGTACATCAGCCAGTATGCTTGAGTGTAAAGCCAACCAACATGAACTCGCCTTCGAGGAAAAGACCTCAGTGATGCTGCAACAGACTACTAAATGAACCCCTTTGTGCAAATATCCGACATATCACCAATACACAACTTCCCTAACAAAGAGAGCCGCAGCATCCTGAAGTCGCCCTCGAACCTCTCGCCCCTTTGAGGCTGAGGTCAGAGGTCATCCTCGAATTCACAGTTCACGCGACGGAGATTTCAGGGCGGCAGGTCAAGGAGAGAGAGACAAGAGGAGGTCCTCGGAGCGTGCGAGGGTCTCTTTTCCTCCTCCTCCTCCCTCGTTCTCCTTGAGCCTGCAGGGCCTCCTTCGCAGGACCCCCTGGCTATCCCACACCCTCAAGATGGATCGGAATATGCTATATGTCCTAAGCCATCATCAGTCTCCTGCCACCTAACCTAAGTGTGTATGATACAGTATTTACAAATAGAACGACGTTTTTTTTTGCAGCACACGGGACCGGAATTCCTTCAACTACAGGGACAACAGCCAGCGCAGTGGTGACCCCGCCCTTCTGGAGTCTTCAGGGACCACGAGTCTTTCGGGGTCAGTTCCTTGGGGGTCTTTCCATGCGGGGGTCCTCTTTCGAAGGGGAGACGGGGAAGCGGCGGCGTGCGACGGACCCCCAGCACGCGCGATCGGCAAGGGACTCTCCCCTTGAGGAACCCCTATGCGCCGACCTCTGCAGGAGCCGTGGGAGTCCTCTGAGCGAGCCAAGAAGGTGCGATGGCGCCATGGCATTCCTTCTGGCGTTTCCTCTTTTATTTATTTTAAAGAGGACCTGGCCAAGCTCCTGCCCTCCCTTGACTAGGTGTACAAATGTATCTTTTTTCTTTATTATTGTTCATGTGCTTCTATAAATGTAGGACGTATAGGCATCATACAAACCCTCTGTTAGCTTAATCTCTCTCTCTCTCTCGTTCTCTCTTTTTTTTCTCTCTCTCTCGCGCTATATCATTCCCTCTCCGTCTACCGGATCTGTACGGTTGTGCTATCTACCTATGGTTATCAAAATATACCTCAACTGCTTTCGAGTTAGTCAGGAACATTTAAAAGAATATATATCATTATGCAATACATATAAAATTCTTGAATAAAAATAGTCACAGACTATTCCTCATTATTACGGTGCGACGACTAACATTATGGTGGCGTAATAGGGGCTACTCTCTTTTTTCGTACCAGTACATCCACATATATACTTTTTTAAGCTTAAAATAAGACTATCAGTGGTCCTCCAATCATGATAACAAAGATTTCTTTTATATATATATAAATAAGAGAGAAAAAAAATGGATACAAATGATTCTCTTAGATTACAATGGGAGAGGTTGAAAGACCCTCGTCGTCTGCGGATGCCGTACAAGAACTTCATCTGGAACCCTTCGCTTCACTGCAGCAGCCCGCGCCTTCCAGACGTACGACGAAACACAGAACAGCGAGAATGGAGAGCAACAGTTGGGCGGGAGAGAGACGGCTGCTGCCGCTTGCCACAGTGCATTCACCTGTAAACAGAGAAAGAAAATCGTTACTTTTATATCGAAATGCTGTGTGTCGAAACCTGGCAGCAATCGGCCTTTGAGTGAGAGAAACGTTTAAATACTGTTAAAATGATGATGGATAAACAATACTAATAATCTCGATAACAGAATGATAACAGAGACGGAAACTATATCCCTGAATTACTTTGAACATCTATTCATTCAACACACTTATTGACCTGTCTGTTTATCTATCACATCTCTGTCCACATAATTATCCGCCCCCATTCATAAAATCCCGCCGCAGACTTCAATGAATTCCAGGAAAGACGTAAAAAGACCCCGGCATCCTTGACGAGATAAACACGGAGCAGGCAGAAAGAGGGACGAGAGGCTGAGATACCGCCTTCCTCCCCACATCTTCCTCCTTCCTCCCCACTACCTCCTCCTCCTTCCTCCCCACTTCCTCTTCCTCCTTCCTCCCCACTTCCTCTTCCTCCTTCCTCCCCACTTCCTCTTCCTCCTTCCTCCCCACTTCCTCCTCCTTCCTCCCCACTTCCTCCTCCTCCTTCCTCCCCACTTCCTCCTCCTCCTTCTTCCCCACTTCCTCCTCCTCCTTCCTCCCCACTTCCTCTTCCTCCTTCCTCCCCACTTCCTCTTCCTCCTTCCTCCCCACTTCCTCTTCCTCCTTCCTCCCCACTTCCTCCTCCTTCCTCCCCACTTCCTCCTCCTCCTTCCTCCCCACTTCCTCCTCCTCCTTCCTCCCCACTTCCTCTTCCTCCTTCTTCCCCACTTCCTCTTCCTCCTTCCTCCCCACTTCCTCCTCCTCCTTCCTCCCCATCTCTTCCTCCTCCTTCCTCCCCACTTCCTCTTCCTCCTTCCTCCCTATCTCCTCCTCCTCCTTCCTCCCCACTTCCTCCTCCTCCTTCCTCCCCATCTCTTCCTCCTCCTTCCTCCCCACTTCCTCCTCCTCCTTCCTCCCCACTTCCTCCTCCTCTTTCCTCCCCACTTCCTCCTCCTTCTTACCCATCTCCTCCTCCTTCCTCCTTCCTCCCCATCTCCTCTTTCCTATCGACCTTCTTATCACTGCTTCCCTTCCTCCCTCCTTCCCGCTTCTTCTCTATTTTCCTATCTATTTCCCTTCCTCTCTTTTCCACTCATTATTCCTTCTTCTAATTCTCTTCCTCTATCTCACCACTACCTCCTTCCTCCTCTTTTCCCTTTTCCCCGTCTCTCCCTCCTCCCCACTTCTTCCTTCCTTCTCTTCTGTCTCTCCTCTTTCCTTCCCTTCTCCCCACCCACGCCCTTCTCCCTCCTTCTTCTCCCCCTTTCTCCCCACCTCCTCCTCCCCTTTCCCCCTCCTCCTCACCCCCTCTCATCCTTCGCTCCCACTCTCCACGCTCCTCTCTCTTACCTCCTTCTCCACCCTCTCCGTCCCCCCCCCCTCCCTCCCTCCTACTTTTCAACCCCAAACCCTCTCCCTCTTCTTCTCCTCCCATTCCCTCTCCTCCCTCTCCCTCTCCCTCTCTCCCTCCCTCTCCCTCTTCTTCTCCTCCCATTCCCTCTCCTCCCTCTCCCTCTCTCCCTCCCTCTCCCTCTTCTTCTCCTCCCATTCCCTCTCCTCCCTCTCCCTCTCCCTCTCTCCCTCCCTCTCCCTCTCCTCCTCCATCCCTCTCCGTCCCTCCCCCCTCTCCTCCCTCCTACTTTTCACTCCCAACCCTCTCCCCTCTCTCTCCCCTCCCTCTCTCTTTCTCTCTCCCTCTCCCTCTCTCCTATCCCTCTCTCCTCTCCCCCTCTCTCTCCCCTTCCCCCTCCCTTCCCGTCGGATCGATGGCCCGCATGAAATAATGACAGCTTGAGGTCCTGTCATTAGCGTTAAAGACGACGATGCCTTGAGACGCCTTTGCCCAGCCCCGCGGACGAGGCCCTTCTCCCTCGGCTGCGTTTTTGTTGTTGTTGTTGTTGTTGGTCTTTTTTTTTTGGGGGGGGTGGGGGTGGAGGTGGAGGTGGGGTGGGGTGGTTGGTTACGATGCATAATGAATAGTGATAACGTTTTGTTTTTTAATTACGACGGATAATTGATGGTAATACCGTCAATTAAGATATAATGCAAACATTAACTATTAAAGTTTTACAATATATATATATATATATATTTATCTTTTTTTTTTTTTTTTTTTTGGGGGGGGGGGGGGAGGAGGGATCGGGGGATGTCGGAATTACGATGAATAATTGATGGTGATGAGTTAATTATGAAATAATATAGACGACAACCAGTGAAGTTATACAAGCGTAGAGCCATGAGAAAAAAAATAAACATAACCATGATGAGCATTTAATTATTCACAGACACTCTACGGTCATGCCTCGCCATATTTCGTTACCAAGATTTTTTTTCTTTTTTATACTATTATCAGCGTAAATACATCTGATATCCGCTGATAATCAGTCTTTTGTTTCAGTTTTTCTTTACGTGTATTTACCTAGAGTTATAGAAAAAAAAATAATCTATATGTTAACGGCTTACATAATGTATGTTGTATTATCTTGTTTTAATAAAGACAAGACTACGACACATTGTATTAACACTGTAATTCATATTGTAGTTGAAATAAAGCACAAATAATAACGACTGATAATATGATGATAATATTATCAACAATGAAAATAACGGTGATAATAATATTAATAATAATAACAATAATAATAATTATAACATTAATAATAAAAGTGATAATAATAATAATAATAATTATAATAATATTAGATATGATAATATTAACAATAACAATAGTAATAATAATAATAACAAAGATGATAACATTAATAATAGGAACAATAATAGGAATAATATTAATAATAATAACAACGATAGTAGTAGTAGTAGTAGTAATAATAATAATAATAATAATGATAATAATAACAATAAAACAACAATAAAAACAACGAAAACCATATCATAGCAAGAACAACGAAACAACATCAACACAAACAAAAGTAACAACACAACAACAACAATAACAAACCCAAACAAACCCAGGGAAACAAACGAGCACGCCGGGAGGTGGCGAGCGAGATGAATTATTTCACGTGAATAATTATCACTGTGTTAACTGCCCTGTATTAATCACGCCTCATGACTAATCAAGAACGGCCAGGCTCCATTTTTTTTTCTAATGTTGGAGTGACTTATGATGTGTGTGTTTGTTTGTGTGTATGTGTGTGTTTTTCGTGTGTGTGTATATTTGTTTTCGTGTGTGTATTTTTTGTTGCTGTTGTTGTTGTTTTTGTGTATGTGTGTATTTTTTTTAGTTTCGTGTGTGTGTATGTATATATATATATATATTTTTTTTTTTTTTTTGTCTGTGTGTGTATTTTTGTTTTCGTGTGTGTGTGTGTGTATTTTTTGTTTTCGTGTGTGCGTGTGTGTGTATTTTTTGTTTTTTCGTGAGTGTGATTTTTTTTATTGTTTTTTTTTTTTCACGTGTGTGTGTATATTTTTTCGTGTGTATATTTTTTGTTTTCGTGTGTGTGTCCTTGTGTTTGTTTGTTTGTCTTTGTATGCATGTATTTTTTTCGTGCGTGTATGTATATATATTTTGTGTGTGTGTACTGTTTCGTTCTTGGGGTGTTTTGTTTTGTTTTGTTTTGATGCGAAATGATGGTGTTATTTTTGTATTATGACCCGGTTATCGTATTTCTTGTTGTTTCATTTTTATCTTTGTTTAATAATAATATTTTACTTTTATTCTGTTGTAGTCATTTTTTATCATCACTACCTTTTTTTTTACTATTTCGGATATTATCACATTTATATTCATACTAATTCAAGCTCATATATTGAATCTAATGGAAGTTGCTTGCGATAAATAAAACTCTTAAGTCGACGAAAAAATTCAAAGAAAACAAAAACGTAAGAAAGTTAAGATGAAAAGAATACAGAAAGTGCGGAAGGTTAAGACTAAAATAACGTTACATAGATAGATAGATAGAGAGAGAGAGAGAGAGAGAGAGAGAGAGAGAGAGAAAGAGAGAGAGAGAGAAAGAGAGAGAGAGAGAGAGAGAGAGAGAGAGAGAGAGAGAGAGAGAGAGATAAGCGTTCGAGAAAACATTTACAAAGTGCCGAGAAAGGACATGGAAATCATCAGTGTGAATAAATAAGTTATTCCTAGAGTAGGGAAGATGTAATAAGGGGGAAACGATAATGTAAATGAATATTAAATCAAAGCGAAATACGTAACTGGCGTGTTCCGATTATTATCTACGTCGAAATTATGTGTAATTTTGTCCAAGATACTAATCAAATCTAATTAAAGATCTTGTTTTGTGAAGTTATCTTCTCTCTTCTAGATCCCTTTTACATTTGTCTCTGTTGACTAAGTATGACATGTAATCAGATACTGACTTTTTTTTCTCTCTTTTCTTATCAGCTTTTTTTTACATACGTTAGATACTAGCAATATTTTTACTTATTCATTTAATCATCTCTTTTTTATAGCATTATGTTTATTTGCTTATTCATCTCTTTTTTATTATTACTTTTACGTAAGTCTTTCAATTCAGAAGCAGAACGGGGGGAAACGGGTTTGTTTTTGGCTAGAAGTATTGGCTTGTTGAGTTGCCAGTCCTTTCAAAACTCCAGAATTCGTAGGGAGTATAATTTAGGCTATCAACTTTATAAGAATACTTGTAACAATAGGTATTTTCTATGTATATACGTGCGCGTGTAAATGAAAAAAAGAGTAATTAATTAATTAATGTAAAAATCCGTCTTCAGTCCTACCTGTCCATGAATGTTCTGCCCTTCAAATGTCTTTCTCATACTTTAGTGTCGATGTAAAAAAGAGGGGGGGGGGGAGTGTCTTCATTGATAATTAGTAATTCAGCAACGCATGAGCTGTAATCAACACCATTTCGATCAAAACTTCATCCGATTAGAAACGTGTCAATCACATCTATGCCTTTGTGGAGTTATTCATTTCAACCGAAATTTTCTTTCTACATTTTGCCAGTATTAATTCTGATCAATGTCCGTCCATTCATGGCCTATGTTTAAACCAACGAAGCCCTGTCCATCTTCATTTGTTTTTCTTAACATGGATGATATTTCTCTCTCTCTCTCTCTCTCTCTCTCTATCTATCTATCTATCTATCTATCTATCTCTATCTATCTGTGTTTTCTATTCATGTTGGTTTTGAATAGATACGGAATAATCTTCCTTTTCCCTTCCACAGTTTTTTTTTTATCTTTTTGTTATTTTTTATCCGATCTTTCACTCTGTTGAGTCTGTGTTAATACTGCGAATTTTACATATATTGGTACATCGTTATACAGTGTGATTTCCAGATTAGTGAGGAATGTCCTTAGTTATCGAAAATTTTAAGAACGTAATATTTTGGTGTCTCTACTCTTGTTATTTAGCTTACAGTCTCTTGTCTTTGCCGCGAATGAGCGTAAGGACCACCTTGAAGGGTGAGTGTAATGTCCCTTTTCACAGCCGTATCACTCAAGTTTATTTTTATTGATTTTACTACTAACTTTTTAATGTATTCTCATAATCAGTTCCTTCCACACCATCAATAATGTTTAATAGTATAGGCGCAAATCTTCCTTTTCGTAAGACTGTTGATATTGTTGTTTTGTGAATATTAATGTTGTTATTGTTGTTTTTATCATTATTATTGTTATTATTGTTACCTTTATTATTACTGTGGCTTTTAGCATTACTGTTAATATTATCGTTATTGTTATTGTTGTTTTTACCATTATTCCTATTTTTATAGCTAGAGTTATTTTTATCATAATTGTTGTTTTTATCATTATTGTTATTACTATCCTTACTGTCATTTTCATTGTTATTATTCTCGTTATTGTTATTGGTATTATTATCACTATTATCATTACTATTTGCCTATAAGATTTCGAAGTAACAAGGTAAAACGTTTAGATGAAGATGATGCAACAGATCTTTGTAAATTTGCTATTAGACTCACTTAGGCCGATATTTGATCTGGACAAGGCTATTTTTCTGTTTATGTCGCCCTATTCGTATTATATGGGACCCTAAAATATGAGAAGCATTGGAACTTGCCGCCGCATACAGGTACACATGTACTCACACATATAAACATTCATATATACTTGCACGTGCATTTATAAAAACAGACAACATGCACACGCCCATACACACACACACACGCACGTACACGCACACGCCCATACACACACACACACGCACGTACACGCACACGCCCATACACACACACACACGCACGTACACGCACACGCACGCACGCACACGTGCACACACACACACACACACACACACACACACACACACACACACACACACACACACACACACACACAGATATATATATATATATATATATATATATATATATATATATATACATATATATATATATATATATATATATATATATATATATATATATATATATATATATATACATATATATATATATATGCATATATCTGTGTATGTAAAAAAAAATATGTCTATACATATAAAAGAACGTTCAATAAAAAATAACCTTTGGCAGCGGAGCGCGGCGCCCGGACCAAAACCCGGAAACGGGCGTCAAAGTTGTGTCGCGAAAAAGACTGAAGTTTGACAACAAAAACGATAAAAGAAGTAAAAATGGCCGAGAGCGATGATTACGTCAAGTTGTGATGCCTCGAGTTTGAGATAAAGAGAGAATCTGGTAATGATGAAGAACACGAAGGAAGAGGGAGGAAGGAGAAGGGAGGGAGAAAAGGAGGATGGGGAGGGGGAGAGAAAAAGAGGGAAGGAAGGAGGGAGGGAGGAAAAGAGGGAAGGTGGGAGGGTGAGAGGGAAGAGGAAGGGATGGTGAGAGAAAAAAAAAAGGAGGGAGGAGGGAGGGATGGGGAAAGAGAAAAAGAGGGAGGAAGGATTGAAGGAAGGAGAGAAGAGGGGAGGGGAGGAGAGAGAGGAAAGAGGAAGGGGGGGTTGAAGAAAAAAAAAATAGAGAGAGAGAGAGAGGTGGGGTAGGAAAAACTGAAGGAAGTAGAGAGAGTGAGAGAGCGACAAGAGGAAGGGCGAAAATGTCAAACAGGGATAGAATTATGTATCCGTACGAGTATACAAATAAGTTAGTCTATCCGCTCTCTTTATCTATTTACGAAAAAGAGAAATGAAAAGAGATGTATCAAAGTAAATATGAAAGAACTAGGATAAATGTATGGAAGAGGCATATAGCAGATCAAATGGATACAGAGTGAGAAGAAAAGAAAGGAAGATAGTGAAAGAGACAGAGAGACAGAGAGAGAGAGAGAGAGAGAGAGAGAGAGAGAGAGAGAGAGAGAGAGAGAGAGAGAGAGAGAGAGAGAGAGAGAGAGAGTCAAAGGCAACAGACACACAAACCAGAGAAAAAAGAAAGAAAGAATGAAAATAAAAGAAAAAATGGAGCAGATCCCTTACCTTGTGCAGTCAGGTTCAGACTAAGAGTCGTGGTCGGAGGTACGTGTCGACGCGGGCAGGAGTGCGCATGCGCCGTGACCTGTAGCGTCTTGCTGCTGCTGTTGTTCTTGCCGTTGTTGTTGTTGTTGTTGCTGTTGTTGTTGGTGATGGAGGTCGCGGTGAGGCAGAGGCGGTGGCTGGGGCGGTCGTGGGGCGAGGCGACGACAAACACAGACCCGCCCTCCGCCCAGTGGCCGTGGCACACGTACGCTGAAGAAGGCGGACGAGGGGGACAAGTGTTAGCGAAAAATAGGTAAGAATAGAAAGGCATAAAACGGATGAAAAATAGAAAGAGAAAGAAAAGGAAATTCTTTTTAAAAAATGGCTTTAACAAAAACAGAAAGAAGAGAAACAAATATATTTTTTAAATACGTCGTTAATAAGAATAGTAAAACACGACTTCAATAAAAATAGAAATAAAAAGAAGACATAAAAAACGACTTTAAAGATGCAGAAGGCGGCCTGTTATGAAACATGAATAAAGAGAAGAGGCATAAAATATGAAGAGAGGAGAGCCGTTATAAAGCAGGAGAAATACGTCTAAAAAAATGTTACAAAAAAAAACACAGAATATAAAATACAAATCATCATAAAGCATAATCCGCTAAACAAAAAAAAAAAAGAAAGAAAAAGAACCGATAAAAAAAAAAGAAAAAAAACATGTTGCGAAATGAGATTAGATAAATGAATAAATAAAGACTAAAAGATAGCAAAAAAAAAAAAAAAAAAAAATCCTGTAAACGTGGAAGACATGAAAATGGGAAACAAGAGAATAGCAAGTCAAAGTTAAGGCTAATGATGGCCTTGTTCAATAATAAAGGAGGGGGAGAGAGAGACAATACGATAAAAAAAAAGGCTGTGGATGTAAAGAGAAAATGAAGGAACTAGGATTATGAAAGGAAGGGTGAATGAAGTCAGGAGAGAGACGTATAGGAGAAAAGGGAGAAAGGGACACGGAGAGAGAGAAAAAGAAAGGGAGATAGTGAAAAAAAAAAAAATAAAGAGACAGATAGAAAGAGATAGAGAGAGCGACCGACAGAAAAGAAGGGAGTGTAGGAGAGAGAAAACAAGAGAGAACAGAACAAAATCAAAACAAAAAATAAGGTATAATAAAATAAAAAAAGAAAAGTAAAGATACCAATTAAAAAAAAAAAAAAAAAAAAAAAAAAACAGCCAAAGGCAAAGAATTCCTAAAGGCAACTCACAATGCTTGGCCGCCTCCCCTGAGCAGGCGTGGACGAACTGGAGGGCGTGAAGGGCTACGCATCCCGCCCTCAGGTGAGTCACGTCCTGGTCACAGTCGCCCTCCACCGCCGTCCACACGCCGACGAAGGGGCACGGCCGGCGGGAGGGAGAACCGCCTGAGGGAGGGGGAGGAGGAGGTCGTTATGAGAGGGAAATGAGAGATCTGGAAGGGGGGGGGGATCTGTCTGTAGTGTGGGGGAGGGCGTTGGGGGGAAGGGGGTATGAGGAGGAGGGTTAAGGGTGGTACGTGTGGGTGGCATGGGTATGAGGATGAGGGGTGTACGTGTGGGTGATTGTGGGTATATGGGTATGAGGGTGAGGGGGGTACGTGTGGGTGATTGTGGGTATATGTGTTTGTGTGGGGAAAGGGAAAAGGGGGATGGGTTCAACAGACAGAATAAGCTTCTTCCTCTCTCACTCTCACTCTTTCACTCTCCCATTCACACCCATCCCCATCCTCAACTCTCACCCTCACCCTCGCTCTCACCCTCACCCCCCCTTTTCTCACCCAATACCCTCCCCGCCCCGCCTCCCCCCAACTCCCACTCATTCTCCCATTCTCCCTTTACCACGTACTCGTCAAAGTTGTATGCGGTGCCGTGGAAGCATTGAAGTAAGTCGGTCGACAGGCATCCTGGGGTCTGATAGCGCGTGATCCTGCAAAAGATTAGGAGATTAAGAACCCTGCTGTTGATAAGGCTTGTCTCCATACGACCTCCTGACAGTGTTACAACTAAAGGAATCTGGAGATGAACGATACCATTGAAGGTTTGAAGTTTTCAGATTTAAAGTTAAAGTTTTGATACAAAGATCCATGGAAGTTTGAAGTCTTGTGCAAAATATATGGAAGACATGAAGTGTTGTTGTCTTTTCCTTTTTTCTTGTGTGTGTGTGTGTGATAGATCGATAGATAGATAGAGAGAGAGAGCGAGAGAGATTGTGTGTCTGTGTAATAGATAGATAGATGGATAGATAGATAGATAGAGAAAGAGAGAGATTGTGTATGTGTCTGTGTGATAGATAGATAGATGGATAAATGTGTGTGTGTGTGTGTGTATGTGTCAGTGTGTGTGTGTGTGTGTGTGTGTGTGCGTGTGTGTGTGTGTGTGTGTGTGTGTGTGTGTGTGTGTGTGTGTGTGTGTGTAGTTCATATCCAAATGGTTGTTCATAACTCACCTTGTTGCATTTCAATAATGTGCCCCTCCCTACGGTACAGTACGGTACACATGTACCCACTCGAACTGCAAAACAAAATGGAATACATTAAGAAAAAAGTAATTACTAAAACAAATCGTGAAAATGTTCAGGGTAGAAATATCGGAATTCTTCAAGGAGCAATACAGATCACGTTTATTACATATTGAAGGTTGTAGATAATAAAAGTATAAATAAATAAAAATGTTTTTGAAATGTACCTTCAAATATCAGTTCACATTATTACTTAATATGATTCGGAAATAAAATTTCAAAAAAATGTATATTCTACTATCTTTTTAAGGACAGACGGGAGAGAGGAAATTAATTAACTCATTCTGCCGTGTAATAAAATTTCTGTAGCATTTCCGACACACTTAAAATGCGAAACAAATGCAGCTTATGAAGTTATCTACGAATTATTACAATTTGTACGATAATATTTAAAGAAATTCTGTTTTCCAAAACAAAATTTGCAATATCAAAAAAATAATATTAGATAAATAAACAAATAACATATAGAACTCTAGAAATACCATGATAAAATGCAATCCAAAATAACTGTTATAAAAAAAAAGAAAGAAAAAGAATCCAGTTATATGCTGGACACAGATTCATATCCTCTAAAATTAAATGCATTTCGCCCTGGCAAAATCGCGGACAACATTGACAGATCGGAGTTTTAAGCTCTCCTTTTTTTGGCGGGAATTTAATCGCGAATAATGCCGGCCAAGCACGCCGATGCGAATGTTAATACCCGCAAACAACGAGCGAACGAGTAGACAGAGTGGTTTTGCTCGAAAGAGAGAATTACCGGGAACGACTGGTGTTACGACTTCTGTTTGGGGGGGGGGGGGGTGTAGTGGGGGGAGGGGGGGAGGAGTGATGTGGGGGGGGGGGATGGGGAAGGGGAGGGGGGAGGAGTGAAGTGGGGGGTGGGGAGGGGGAAGGGGAGGGGGGAGGAGAGGGGTTGTAAGTGGGATTAGGGATGAAGAGAGGGTTGGGCGGGGCGTAAGGAAGGGTGG